CTGTAACACATAGAAAAATAAAATATAGTGTAATTAAAAATATAGTGCTCTTAACTATGTTTTCCTCAATGAAGTCTGATAGCCAGAAGAGTGAATTATATAAATTATTCTCTAAACTCTCTAAAAGAATTCCCATATCTTACTCAAATTTGGATGAAATGGCTACGAACAAGAAATTCGTACCTACCATATATTTTTCCTTTCTTAGTTCTACATCAAGAAACAGAAGGTCTTTCAAAAGAAGGCTATATAGGCACAGCTTAACATCAAAACTGTAATAAGATAAAGGTTAAAAAATTATTAGTACCAATCTGTTTATGCTGTACTAAAGCACCATTGTAAAAATGGAGCAAACAGAAAATGGTTACCTTACCCTCTTGTAAAATAGTCTCTCTTTTAAGTGCCAAATTCTCAGAAAAACAATTTCCTTGGGATAATAGTTCCATCATTTTATTTTATATTGTGTTTTTCATACAAAGTATCCCAAAATTTTGCACAGTGAGAAATAAGGTGTGCTTAAACAACACAGAAGGGCAGAGAGAGAGTGCTATATGGAGAAACGGTTAGAATAAAGCAGAGAGCTCTATTTAAAAAAAAAAAAAAGGAAAAAACAACAACAATTAGCATTTCATTAAGTATTTTTCATCACCAGTTGCACTACAGTAACATTATTTAACCTATGGAGAACACAGTGACATATCATCTTCCTATTTTGCAAATTAGGAACCAGAAGTAAATGTACATATACTGCCTCAAACTACATGCTAATTCGGTGGCAGAAGGAAAATTACAGCTAAGAGCCTCTTTGGTTATTGAGTGAGGCAGTGAATGTGAATAAGGGTTGCAGAACCTGCCACTAAGTATTTATTATTATTAAGGACACACTGTTTAGTTTCAATGGAACTAACTATCCATGGAATAAGATATTGCTCAATAAATATGGCTGGATCAAATCCTAAATAAAAAGGCCATTGGAGAATGTTCTTCAATATGTAGATGAGTTCTTGTATCCCAGGTTTAAAAGTCTGGGTGGTGCTGTGTGATGAAAATAGGAGCAATTAAAGGACTGTGTAGTGGTAAAGGGGGCCCTAAATTGAAGCAGTGCGTTTTTACAAGCACTGCTTCAAGATAGGGCTGACTTAAACCCCCTGTGCCATGCACACACCCTGCTGTGCCTCTCCGGTGGTGGGGAGGGGAGGGTGAGCTGCCAGCAGGTGGGGCGGTCCCTGGGCTGTGTGGGGGAGGGGACTGGTGCTTTCCTCTGCGGCAGTGGCGCCTGTCCCCATGGCACCTGCCCACAGGTGCCTGGCTCAGGTGGTCCTGGGGGCACTGCATCCGTGGAGGGAAGCACCAGGCCCCTGCACAGCTCAGGTAGACAAGCTCCAGCGGGAGGGAGGGGGAAGATCAGGCTTGCCGCTTTTCTTGGGAGGAGCCAGGCTGCCTGCAGGGCTTTCTGCAGAGCTGAGGAGCTGCATGGAGCCCAGTGCTTCGCTCTGCAGATGTAGGGGCAGCAAACTAAAACTCCTCAGAGAATTTTACTTTGCTGTGCCCCAAATCATTTAAGGTGCATTATGCTGTCAAATTTCCTATAGTGGCTGGAATTAATGCGCAATATGCTGCCGAGGCATGCAAACACCAACACCATTAAGCAGTGCAAAAGCATTTAGCCCACTTTAAAGTGTCATGCACACACCCCTCATTTTGTCTACACTTGGCCTAAGATTTTGCAGTATATTGTTTCTTGTCCCCTTTTGTTGTTTTATGGATAGCTTTGTATCAGTGTTTTTAAAACTAATGGAGACAAGCACATTCTTTCCATCAGCATAGTCAGTAACATATACAACAAGAACAAACACAATTTTTTCCAACAAGGATTATTTTAGGGTTGTTAAAAAAAAAAAATAAAAAAAATGGGGCTTATGAGTCTGATCCACTGAAGGACTTAACCACCCCTAATGATTCCAGTGGAAACTGAAGGGGTTTAGAATCCTGCAGAATTGGACTATGAGTGATTAACAACCTTTTCAAATGTAATGCTGTAGCATTAACACGAGACAGGTAAAAAGGGGACTCTTATCACAGTGCTGTTATGGAAGGCTATTGTTGCCTCTATGCTGTTTCCTAGAACTCTATCATAAACCGATTTGCAAGTCACAATAGCACGCGATCTCCTTGGTCTCTAAAAACACTTTTTTTCTAGGGACTGCAGCCCCTAATTTAGATTTTTATATACAGAGTTCCTGCATTTAACAAATGGATTTAAGAACCACGACTTCATTTGTGCCAGTCTTTTAGCAGTTGTTTGGAAAACAAGTAAGTGCAAGTATATATCATGAGTTAGCAAATGACCAAGCTTGAATAAAAGGGTTGTTTGTTTTTTTTGCCCTTTACCTCTCACAAGTCAGGACTTCAGGGAAGCAGGTCACCTTTAGGAAGGTTCGAGCCTGAAATCGGTCATCACTAGTTGCAGAATGTATTGTTGTAGATGAGCTACAGTCCTCTTTGTCTCCTTGACTGAGGGATCCAAGGCTGCTTGAAGTGGAAGCTTCCATTACTTGATTAGGCAGAACAGCCTGCTTTGGATTTTCATGCAAAGATGGATTGGATGATCCATCTGCCAGTGGCTAGAATTAAAAAAGTATATATACAGGTTTAATTAATACAGCGCAGCATTATGATGAGCAGCTAATACATTTGCGTTTGATGCGTTAGCCTTTTGTGCAATACTATAGCTGACACAACTTTACAGAACTTGTGGTCTGTTACTCTGATCAAATTTCTTACATCTTTTGCCTAGAAAATATTTTATCCACCATAAATAATTAATTTATTCTCTTTAATGAATTGATTTCCTTATTAAGGGCCAGCCCCCCCTCACAGTTTTGCATCTGTCATGAAAATCACAAAATTAAGTGACATTTTTAATGAAAAATGTGATTTGCTGTGGAATGCCCCCAGCCAGTGGCCATATCATGGCATTTCATTGCAACAAGATGGCTACTGCAGGGGAAAGCATTCCCCAGACAGCAGCAAAAGCTTAGCACCCTGGGGAAGGGGTTGCAACAGAGATAGCGGGAGAAGAGAGCTTGGAGATTGGGAGGGGAGGGGCTGTTTGGTCCTCCGGGTGAGCAAACTGGGGTGCAAGGGGTTGGGGCAGCCTTGGCCAACAGCTCTGGAACTGGGTAGAGATGGGGATGTTTGCTCCTCTGGGTGGCAAAACTGGGGCGCTGGAGGTTGGGGGAGAGAACACGCATGCTGAGGAGTTAACAGCCCCTCCCCTACCCGGGGCAAGGGCCATCTGCTAAGGCAGCCCCCAGGTACCTCCAACCCCTTCCCACCCAGAGGAGCAAACAGCCCCTCCTGTCCTCATCCCCAAGCTCTCTCATCCCTCTGTCCCTCTTGCAACCCCTTCCCCCCTCCCCTGGGCTACTAGGCTTTTGCTGCTGTCTGAGGAATGCTTTCCCCAGCCTGTAGCAGCCATCAGCAAACTGGAGCAACAAGAGGATCTAGGGGAGGGGAGACACCATGATCTGGGTGCAAAAATGGTGGCCCATGCCATGACTGGGCCACTATATTAGCGAGCTGGGCCTGTCATTTAAACCAGGCCGTAATCATAGTCAATGAAAAATCTCTCATTGACTTGTAAATGCTGTGAATCACTGGGGATTTGGATGGAGTTGAGGGTAGCTGATGCCTCATATAATAATGCCTAAATTTATTTGCTATAAGCAAACAAAAAGTTGCCCTAAAAGGCTTAATATTTTTCCCCGACTTTATGCCAAGTATCTTTGGCATAAAGATACTGTCACTGATTTTTCATAAACCATCTAAATTCTTACCCTGAATTTTTGATTGATTGGATAGATGACTTTTGCCTTTAGTGCAAATGCTGTGATGTTACTAGTCAAAGGTGACTCACTTCCCTGTTTGGAAAGAGAAGAGAAACTAATGTAAGCTTTAATAAGGACAGTAGAGCTGTTAGAGGTTTAGCAGAAGTACCACACCCTCCTTTTGTTTGCCCAGCTCAGGAATTGATCACTGGCTGTCCTTGGATTTATACTCTGGCATGAAGTCTTCTCATAATTCATGCCAGAGTATGACATCCACAGAAGACAGAAAACCATGGTACGTTTTTCTAACTGCTAGTCTAGACGTACATTGCTAGTGCTCAAGAAGGCTGCCTGTACACGTGGTGGTCTGCATTCGCATTGGAACGCTCCAGCATTGCCTCACGGTCACATGTATAAGCCCCTGTGCGTTTAAAATGGCCACTGGGACGCCTTGTTGAATGAGGTTAAAATATGGCATCCTGCTGCCATTTTTATACCCATGGGGGCTTAATACATGTGATGGTGACACGTTTTAATTAGAGTAATTCCTGGAGAGCCACTCTTAATTATAATAACCCTCCTCCCCTCAGAGCATGTGTATAGACAGCCAAAATTATTTCATTCTTGCAAGTTATAATGGACAACAGATAGTTTTCACAACTTATTTTTCTTTTTTTTTCGCTGCCAACAAAGAAGATCCAGTTTGTCTACTGGAGTCTGAAATTACTTCAGTAATAAATATTGCTAATGGAATGTCTCAGGATAGGCTGGGTAGGTATTGCTATGATGCACCTAACTCTAATTTTCAATTTAAATAAAAAGCAACAGATTTAACAAAGCAGGTAATTTTTCAATTATTAAAATAAGAATTGGACTCCCCTTTCCCCCCATGTATGTTCCTAAATCCATCATACAGACAATGTATTCTGTACCTAGGCTAAGTATCTGCTTATGTTCTCTGTTTACTGCCTCATTATGTGCAGAAGCAGTGGGTAATCCATTGTATTTTTGGTGGACTGCAGGCGCTCATTGGGAAGGTGAGCTATAAGCAACAGTAAGATAAAATGTTTTAGGAGCTGTTTATTTTACCTGTTGCTGTGTTTCTTTCATTACTACTAGAACAATCTGTTACCTTGAAATTATTGTGGTTTCCAGTTCAAGGATTTTTCTAGGAAATATCAAAGCACTAATGGACTTAAGAATAAACACTAAAATGAGAAGAGGAAAAACAAAATGGATCACTCATTATCATTCTTTATTATTGCACCTTTTTCATGTCAATTGCATTGACATCCAGAGGTTATTTTGAGCCTCACTAATAAGTGTAAGACTGAGAGCAAGACAGTGATACACTGGCTTATGCTTAGTCCTATTGATTTACATGCCAATACTCCTGGTACTAGCTATTATTATAATGGAGAAGGGCCCAGAGTGGAAATACTCAATTTCTGAAGTTCTATAACTTATCCAAGAGCATTTTTCAACTGTGCTGGTTTGTGAATCAGTGCTTTACTAACAGCTTTTGCTTTTACCAATGGCAATTGGAACAGATTTGGTTTGAGAAAGGGGAAGGAAAATCCCCTTTAAAACAAGGTAGTGTGCTAAACATGCCGGAGAAAATCTCACATATTTGAAACATGATCATACTATAGAAATTACTGTGGTGATTGAGGAATAGATTCTGAAATGTAATGGGGATGCTGTTATGCATAAATTTATGCAAATAAAGAAGTGTCTGCAAAGGGAACACTCCCAAATAGGATCTAATCATTGCTACTGATATATTGGTTCATGACTAAGAACCTTTAACCAATGCTTTTTAGTTTGTCATTATTCCTAGATATGAGAATTCATTGGCTATCGGGACTTTATAGTAGATTTCAAGTGCTGTATTTCTTATAACTACTACTGATTGCAAGCAAGGTCTGTGCTGGTTAAATCCAACTAACGTGCTGCAGATGTTGATAATTTATTCTTTATAGGTAGAATGAGTAGTCTATAAGTAAACTGCATTCATGACTCCTCTTACTGCATCAGTAGCAGACAATTCTGTTTTAAATGAAAGGCAGTGAACTGAGAATATCAAAATATGATTGCTTCTCAAGTATTTTATGGGCTTCGTGACTGTGGGCCAGCTCCTCGCTACTGGACCACAGTAAGCAATATACCAGCTCCTTTTATTGACAGAAGAAGCCCTACACCAGTCTGCCTTGTACTGAGGATGGTCAGAACAGCTGCTAGGCAATACATCCTGGTCTGTCTCTCCCTTCCTCATGGAGCTGCATTAATGCCTGAAAAACAGCCCATTAGGGAGAAAACACAAGAAAAGGGAAAGAGAAGACTTAGCCTGACTCCTGAACATAAACAGCCAAACACTTTGAAGTCTTGATTAGGAGTGAATTATTTTCTTCCTTGTTTAAAGTTGCCTTTTGAGGGAGTTCTTTGGACTCTGAGAGCTGTTCATTCCTTGCCAACAACGCTGGTACCTTAGTATCTCTTGTCTCACTTGACTCCTCCCTGTCTCAACAGCAGTCACTTGCTTGAAGATACTGTTCCCCATAAAAGAAGTCACTGGACCCACAGCTGTCCTTTGATGTGCTTAGTGTTACCCTGTCTCTCTTCATCCACTAAACTGAGTTTCTCTTTGCTGTATTCATACTCAGTTTAGCTTCCTGATTTCCGATCTTCCAGATACTGTCCTGCCAAAGATTTGGTAACGGTTCCTTTGTTTGGACGTGTACCAGATTGCTGTATTAGGGTCCTCTCTAATGGGCTGGTGAAGTCTTCCAGAGCCTGAATAAAATCCAGACATTTGCCCCTGCTGTGGGGTCTCTAGGCAAATATTTTGGGTGCATAGTCTAGCATCCAGTCCCAAGATCTGGACCCATAGACCAAATGTATTGCTTCAGGTTTAGTGTGGACATTTCAGGCTTTCCTGCAGCCTAAATGCACCTTCACCCAGAACTCCAGTTTCACTGACCACTCGGAGATACAGTCTAACTTTTCAGGGGCGTGCAACACGCGTCACGTGTGTATACTCACACACATGCTTAGCACAGGGCTTCTGAACACCGTGAATCTTTAGTCGACAGATAAAGGATAAGAGGATATGGGTCAGTTAGAAAACAACACACATCCTGAATGATTCATAGATTGTTAGGGGCTGGAAGGGACCTTGCAGGATCATGGGGTCCAGCTCCACTGCACTAGACAGGAAAGACAACTGGGGTCTGGTGACCCCAGTGAGGATACATTTCTTCCTTTAGCTTCCCCTTCCCCTAGAGTCCAAGGGAGTCTGTGCTGATGAAGGCAGGCTTCTGCCTCATCAAGCTACTGGTGCTCCCTCACTTTGAACTGGTGAAAGATGGGCTCTGGTCCTCTCACATCCTTCCAACTGTCACTGTCCTCAGACTCCCTTACCCAAGCTTTTAAGTGATAAAAGCCAGCATATAGTTCAGTGTGGTGATACTTAAATGGTAGAGTGTCTAGGTTGATGACCCTTTGCTACCACAGACTGCTGGTCCAACATGGTAAATGGACAAATAGAAACAGCAATGGATGCCACACCTAAACCATACTCTGAAAACTGATACATACACACAATGAACACCCCTCCCTTTCCCCTTCCCTTCCTCAAATAAAACAGAATTCTAAGTAACACACAGAGTCCTAAAATTGTCACTCCTAATATAGCACACACTCACTCACTTTTAGCATACACACATCATATTTTGTTCAGATCACTGCCTTATCCCTCTCTACTGCTTGAGGTTGGGTATATCTGACCTTCAACTGAAGTGAATGCTCATATGCAAATTTACCAAGCCCAATTCATTTACTTGCAAGTAATGTGAATATGTTTCTTGGAAGGTACAGGAGGATGATAGTACAGGAAGAGTGGCTGTATTCCCAACAGCCACTATTCGGAGAAAGATTCCAGTTGACTTGAATTGAAATGTTGCCCGAGTAAAAAATTATGTCATTCAGCCAGATAATGTAAATGAAAGTCATATTTCCAGGTATCAACAGACTGCTAAGATTCTGACACTTACTCCTTTTTCACTTGTCTCCAATTTATTGCAATTTATTTCCAATCTCTTACTACAGCATCTTTATGGGAGCTATTTTTAATATTTTAAGGTCCTGAACCCAAGCCTGATGAACTCGATCTGGACTGGGCCAAAAGTGCATACCAAACAAAATAGACACCTAGAGAAGGAATAAAACCTTACCTCCAGTGCCACTGCCTTCTTTGATTTATGAGCTTCTATTTTCTTCATACTTGGTAAGGGCTCGTTTTCATAAAGATGCCTGTGGACATCAGAGTGGAAATTTTCCAGAAGTCTTTGGGAATCGTCTGCCTGAAATTCCAGGATATGGAAAAAAACAAAACAAAAAACAGCAATGGAAATAATTTAAATCTGCTATATTTACCTGAAGTATCTTACTGTTTATACTGATATAATTATATGTGGCAAATTGCATAGTTTTTATAAACAATTATTTTGGAATAAATTATTGGAAATTTAAAATACAGCATTTTGATGGTTTTTGGAGGGCACAGGGACATCTTAATTAGAGCAGCTCTCAGGAGGTGCCCTAATTAAAACACCTGCAGTGTCTTGTGTATTCCCCACTTTAGTTAAAGCACCTCTGCCGCCATTGTGAAATGTGGGATGCTGAATACACAAGATGCTGCAGCATGCTAGAGAATCTGGTTAATTGAGTCTGCTCTAATCAGAGTGCATGTAAAAGTGCCCTGAGTACCTAGAATAATGAAAGAGACTGACTTGGAAACTTTCTTGCTCCTCTCTGGCGACACTAAACTACTTTGGGTGTGGGGATGGAAAATGGGTTTGTCCATGGGATGATTGCATATGTGCCTCAAGTATTGGGGCTGCTATAATGGGCATGAAAAAAAATTGCTATGTACCATGAATGAGAGCCTGATCTCAGACAGGCTGATGATATCAGCACTGAAGAAATGCCACTAGTATAAAACTGCGCACCTCATCTTCTCCGCAGTATGTGCTTCTGTGAGAACACTAAGCCTTTCTTTCCATCTCTATGCTAGAATCCTATAGAGTGGGTGCTTTCAACCACCAGTTTGTAGGCCAGATCCGGCCTCTGCTGCCAGGTCATCTAGCCTGCAGGGCTTCCCATAGGCCACGGCTTTGTGTGCTAGATTGGGCATGCAGAGCAGCTTGGGGCCTGATTCCACCGTGTGGGGCTGGACAGGGATGATGCGAGGCCCCAGACCCTGGTCCTGGTGTGCAGGGCTGGGTAGGGGTGGTGCAGGGCTCCAGGACCTGATCTTATGCCTAGGATGCCTAAAATAACTTGAGCTCTGGATTGAAGACTATAGCTGGCAACTTTTCTCCTTTGGGCAGTAAAGTGTAACACCTGTCTGAGCAGGGGAAAGAAACTTGTCAGGGGCTGGTCTGAGATTGCAGAACCAACTTTCCCAGGACCTACAGTCCTTCATAAACCTCATGCCACTTCCTGCTCTATATACAAGATGCATTTTTTTGCCTTCTCTAAGAAACCCTTAGCAATTGCTACATTTAAAACAAGCAAACAAACCAAGCCTGACAAAACAAACCACTCTGCTGCATTGCCTCTCCCCTGTGCAGGAGGATGGGAAAACAAACAACAGGTGACAGCTGTTTGTCATGCTGTTTATGTGCTGCTGGGAAGGTAGCGTTATATTCTGGTGATGAATACAGTGTAAAGACTTATACAGCGTGGAAGTAATTTAAATAATCACATTGTTATAGAAACTAGACCACCTCTGTGGTTCAAAGGCTTTCGTGGGACAAAGGAAGGCAAGGAGGGGTCTCTGCAGCTACTACAGACACTCCATAGCTTTCCTGCCTTGACTTCACCTTCCTTGCCTTTCTCAGGAGTGGATTTTACTAGGTGGGGCTAAGGGTCCTACGTGGGGGTTTACCAAGCTCTCTAAGAAATCATGCTTAACCTAGTTTAGGCTCGTTATGGAGCTATGTGGAACTTTAGTATTTGTTGGGTCACACAATACATATTGTGAGTCCTCCTGGCACACTTGCATGGTATATAATCCTTTCTGCTTCTGAATATTTTTGTTTGAGATTTTTATTTTTCTACCGCCACAATTTTGGTGCTCACAGTTGCATATCATCTTCCAAATACAGTATTATCAGTATTTTATAGAATGCTGATTTTGAAGTAAATATGCCTGTAGTAATTTAGTTAATCCAGAATTGATGCATTTTACCATTTTTTAAACTGCTGCAAGTTATAGTACAAACTATGCATGCTATTAGTCCAGGGGTGGGCAATTATTTGGGCCGGATGGCCCTAAGGAGTCTTGGTGAGCTGCTGTAGAATGGGGGTACTGCCCTGGCCCGCATAGGAGGCAGAGCACTGATCCTATCCAGCCATAATCTGCTCCTCTCACACCTCTGAGATAAGCGCCAGTTCCATGGACAGAGACATGCAGGGAAGATATTGCGGCTCTGCCCTACGCCTTGGCCCCGCACTGTCACCAGCCTGTGATCCTGCTCCTGCCCCCTGCTTGTCCTGCTCCGACACCACTTCCTGCTTACCTGCAGCCCCATCCCATCCTCCCAGCCAAGCACACCCTTTCTGCGGAGGTCCCAGCTAGTCTCTATGGAGAATCTGCCCACCTGCCCGCCCTCTCCATCTGATGTCCTTGGTGGTGGGTGCAGAATGGACAGGCCGGGGTGTCCAGGTAGCAGGGCCGGGTCTGGTGATGGCAACACAGGCAGTGGCAACCAGGAGCCGTAGCTGCCGGGACTGCTGGAAAACTGACTCTAGCTGCGCCCCTGCCCTGCTGCATGCCTGGGGGTGGTGGGACAGGCTGCACACACCATGGGCTGGTAGGACTGAGGGACCTGCTACAAGCCAGACAGAATCCTTTAATGGGCCAGATCTGGCCTTCAGGCCATATTTTGCACGCCCCTGTATTTGGCTAAAGGCAAAAGGCTCATGATTTACCATATAGTTAATTGGGTTGAGTCCCAGCTTAGTCAACAGTGTTTTAAGTCACAGTGACCCCACAGATCAGCATTGCTCAATATATGCATGTGCATCTACACATGTACTTTTTTATGGAGTAGACTAATTAGCTCCTCAGTAAAGCATTACTGTCTACACCTGCACCTGTATTAGGGCACAGTAAACTGCTTAGCTCTGCCATAACATAGTATTGTCAGGGATAGTACTACCTTACAGCAGAGTAAGTAACTGCACTGAAATGCACATGCAGACAGTGATGGAGGCTGGCTGGGGCACAAGGGTACTAAGGTGCAGGGGCTTTCTGCTGCCTAGCCACATGGCACTGAATTCTCAGCAACCTTGTGCCCCAGCCAGTCCCTCTGCCAGCAGGCACCACCACCTGGAGCCTGGGGTTGACCTCCAGTGCTCCCTGCCAGTTCGGGGCTGCTCTGCCCCCTCAACTTGCTACTGCCCTGAGTGCACGTGTAGAAGCTGTGCCTGGGAGCAGTTTTTTCTGGCTCAAATGGATCTGGAGCCGTGTCGTGTTAATTGCACCTATAGTTGCACCCATCTGGATACCCCTGCACAAAGGACCCATGTGTTAATTAGCTCCCTACTCATTACTGGAACTTGTCATTAGTCCTAGGATCCTCCAAAATTGTATAGGCAGAACTGTTTAAGGCCCCATTTGGTGATGTTTGCCAGACATTTAAGGCTGGTAAAATAACAGGAATAATTGGAAATGGGAAAGGAAGGCACAGCTCAGCTGTGAGAGTGAAGAGGCAGTTGAAATGTACATAGTGTAGCTCACTATGATTTGAAAGAGTCAGTGCTGAGGGGGGACTGTGCATAGTGGGCACTATGATGTATCTTATTCCAATGGGCTGCACTAACCTACCCTGGCACCAAGGGGAGGGTGTCAGGGCTGGTTCTGGCTTTCCCAGTGCTGGCTTCATACTGCAGCACCTCCAGGCCTGGTGCCAGTTCCCTGCCAAGCGAGCACCTGCCCATTTTTTTTAAGGGCAACACACACGAAAGGTCCCATCAGCATCTCAGCCTTTTTGGCTAAGACCAAATGTAGCATTTCTGGCACCAGGGGGGAGGGTGTTAGGGTTGGCTCTGACCCTCCCGGTGCTGGTCTGGTATTGCAGTACCTCTAAGCCCTGTGCCAGTTCCCTGTGGAAGGAACACCCGCCTATTTTTTTTTTTTTTAAAGGGCCAAACAAAAAAGGTTTGCATCAGCATTTTTG